AAGTTAGACCAATATCATCCGACACCAGTTGTAATAACTGTATCATATTAAATTTACATTTATCTAATTTTTACGCTATGACCGTAACACACATACCTACGATTGGAAAAAAATCCACGATCAAAACAGCAGCTGAAAATTATAACAAACTTTCAACGGAGACACCTTACTGTGCACTTATTTTCATTGACGTGTTTCTCACATTTCGTTTTGTAATTCAAGCTTGGGCCCACGTATTGACGCGTAGACATGAAACGTGACGAAATGTTCATGCTAAAAATTTCAAAAGACACGAATTATTTTCATATTTCTTTTTAAAAATATCGGAAGCTGCAACTACGGATTGATAATAATAACATCTAAAACTTTCTCTAGCTGAAATTTAATTAAGATAAACACTTAGGCGGTCTTTGGTCTTCCTAAACAGAAGCGAAAACCTCTATATCTGGCGTTGAGTTTTACACAATTTGAAAATACCCTTGAAGTTTATATAAGAAGTATTAACCGCCGCCTAGTTAGCCCAATGGATAGTGCGCTGGACTGTAGTGCGGGAGGTCGAGGGTTCGAGCACCGGCCGGACCATCACTCAAGGTCTTAAAATAAATGAGAAGAATTTTCGACTTTTCTATAACATCAAGAAATGGTTAGATATTCTAGTCTTCTCGGATAGGGACAAGTAAATGGAGGTCCCTTCTCCTGCAGGGTTGGGGGTAGAAGACGTTAATTTCCCACGCACGAGATTACTGTGTGATGGAAGTCCTCCCATGGGTTGGGATGGGTGGGTTTACTGGGCCCGCAGTAATTGGCGCAAGCTGTTGCGGTGTCCCTGCCGGTCGGCGAAGCTAATAAACTAAACTGCAATTATTTGATAAGTGAATGCAAGTTAAAGCAAGATTAGCCTCAAAATGAGTAAAGGCTGATAGTTTCTAAAGAAACTGTTTGGGGCTACGTCGGTGGGGGTAACGAAAGAATGGCATAGCTAGGTCCCATTTTGGTGGGGGTAACAAAAAGGATTGGCATAGCTAGGTCCCATTTTGGTGCCCATGGCTACACCATTGGTTTGTTTGAAGAACGCTTTTCATTCCACTAATTTATTCGTGTTTTTTTCGTTGCCATGTTCCCACCAATAACGTAGCTCCATTTTCTGCCTTTAAAAGCACACACAAACCACAATTCCTCTCTATTCTCTCCCTATTTCTTGTAACTTTTTTTAACGTTTTATTTTTGTTATTGCATTATAATATCAACGCAAAATTCTGCCCGAAGACAAACTAATTTCTCTAAATTGTATCCTGCCTTAGAATTGATACTGACTTTACTAATTAGTCTTGGACTCTTTAACCACTGAGGAAGCAACTCAGCTAAAAAGGAGCATCGAAATGCACCAATCATGTTGTTGAGATCCAACTATACAGAGTAGCGCGGAAACGATTGACCAGGAGGAGACTATCAAATACGCAGTCGAAACATCGAAGCGCGACTGGACTGATAAAGTCATTGCTACATCTACTCTATGATTTTACATTTTCTAGTAAATAAATTACGCGCTAAATCACCAAGTTGATTCGACTTGGATCATCGTCGACGGTTGCTTGGTTGATAATTTATCATTGCGAGAGACCATCATGCTACCGAGAAAATACATGTACATGGTCCAAATGGCACGTACGAAAAACTTGACATGAGATCGGAGAAATAGCATCCTTGAATGGTTCACACGTCGCGCAGTCAGTCAATGATATCCAAGGTAGAAGTACATCTTGTTTATTGCATACTCCAATCCATACTTGGACGTACATAATCGAGAGCGTTCTAGTAGGATCATGCCTAAATAGCTATACTGTTTGGTATTCTTTCCGGAAGTAAGTGAATGTAAGGAAACTTTAAAGTCTCATTCCTCTTCTTTATGGACCTTGAAATACGATGAAGTTTTCCTTGGAAGACCAAAATGGCCTCTCTGGCAGACATATCAGTAAAGGAACCATCAGAGTAATCACCAAGGAAACGCTTTACAGGAATAAGAGAGAGATACATTCACTTGTTAAAATGATAAACTATACGCCAAAATAAAACTCTTAAGATAATAGGGTGAAGTGTATGACTACTCAATATATATAGAGCATCCTTTTAACATCATTATTTGAATATTGGTATGACAGAAATACTAATAAACTTTATTGGGCTGGTTATTTCAACGAAATCTAACTTACGCTGAGGTCTTAGAAAATCGATGGACCTCGAGATTCCCATTAAAGTAGGCTGTTTGAAGTGAATAGATATTTCCGTCCATCTATAAAATTGTTGCCATCTTAAGCTAAGATCTAAAAAAACATGGTCCAAAACACGCTTTATATGACCGGCACATGGTGTTTCAGCCCTAACTGCAACAGTTATAGGCATAAATAACTTGAGAAAAAGAACTGCTTTTTGTAACACAATGTTATTCTGTGATACCTAGGGTTTTACACTGACTACCTAACCAGAAAAGAAATAGAAAAATATAATTTTTTTTTTACAATTCAGATATTTCTTACCTCATCAGGGAATATGCGCGTCAGATCGTAGACGGTCGCTACAGCAACTCCTACATGGTGATGGTTGGGCAGGCTCTTCATGACGTCTTTTATGGTCAGTTTGCCCTTTTCCGTTGGAGGAGGCTGTCGCATGAGAGTAGGTGCATTGGGAGAGAAGCCGTACGCGTCCATCATAGAAAAGTTGACGGCTGCGTGTTGACAAGAATAGGTAAATATGACAATGGTAAGTAAGTTAGCGAGCTGTTCAGTGTTCGCGACGGACGATGGGAAGCCATGGTCCGCCTCACCCTCCCGAACAGTGTAGCCATTGTCGTGAATGTCAAGGATCCATGCTTGGAGTTCTGTGTCCTGTTGGGAAAAAACGCAGCTTGGAGTGAGGTTGCACTATAGAAAGGGTGTCCTGTTCTTTGTTAGTTTCTGAGATGAAAACACGTCTCACCCTTTTGATATCCTCATCTGATTTGTAATAAATCGATAGCATCCTTTTGACGAAATCATTGATGGCCTGCCATATTCGCAAGGCATCATCACGATAGTGGAACCCTGGTAGTTTGTCTGGATCGTCTACTCCTCTTTCCTTTAAGACATTTGGAAGGTCATATGATGACCAATTTATGTCTTTGTAGTACTTTTTCATGAGATCGATGTGACCTAAATGGGAAAAATGAGCAGATTATTCACGCTGACTCACCAATACTGTCAACATTTTATATCGTTGCTTCGGAATACTAGAGCAACAATGTAGTTGAAATTCATGGTTACCATTTCGCATGTTAATAGTACACTGTAAAAAAAAAAGCCGATAAAAGGAAATCAAATTACAATTGACGGCCAGAAGGATGTCAAAAGATTCATTACGTCAATCTGATTTGATGTACAAAGTTAAAAGATTGCTCATACAATAAATGTTCAGCCTCTCTTGTAGATGGTTTCTGTTGAACTTATGATTTTAATTCCATTCAAACGATATGTGTGAAGTTTGAAAGATAAGCATGAAAAATGTAAAATACAGGGGGGACGGGGGGGGGGAGGCAAGGAATTATACAGGAGACCCAGACAGACAGGGGACATCAAAGACATAGAAGTATTTCTACCTCCACCTCCCACACTAAGTGTGTGATCAGCCACGCCCCCAGCAGGAAGCAGTAATTGTCTTGCAACCGTGTTGATGGCCAGAACTCCCTTTATATGAGGAATCAGCAATTTCCATAGAGGGTGGACAGAGGGAAGCTGTCTCCAGGTGGCAACAGCGATCGGTTCCATAAACAGATGAGTGCGAAGAAGGTGCGTGATCATCTGCAAAAAAAATTAATGTTTGTGCGGATTTAAGGAAGGGTGCCAAGGTTTTCCTTGCAAAATTTTATACAGTCACCCAGAAAAGTCTCTCTGAACAAGTACTTCTAGATAAGGTTAATCGTTTACAGTAAAGTTGAGATTCATATGATTAAGTACCAGTAACTTAATTTGCTTGTTTTGCTTTGCACTTCTAATTTTCAGAGATATTATCTTTTTCAGTAAAACTTCTGAATATGAAAATAATACTTTGGAAACTACTTTTAGATAAGAATGAAGAATTAAAATATAAATGTGCGACTCCGAAGAGTAAATGGCTCAGAAAAATAACAACCTGTGCGGCGATAATTGTGAACCTGTGAAGTTTTCCTTTGTTTTGTCATTATTGTTTGTTCAGGCTTTATTGTATAGATTTTTTTCTCTGTTCCTCGGCGCTCGCGAACGTGACAGCATACAAGGAGGCTAAGCGGAAATGTTTCCTAATTTTTCATCCAATTGCAATTAAGCTTGGATGGGTAGTCTGAAATCCGGAAATGCTCACCTGATGCCACTGAACATCAGCAGTACGCAGCCACATCTTAGCGAAGGTCCAGTCCAACTCAGAATCATTTGGGGTCCATATTGGGTTGGTCTCATTCGCCTCTTGGTGGAACTGAATTGCTATGGGTGTTATGTCTCCAGTGCCCTTGACATAGAACAACCCAAATGGCGCGCACATGTAGCGCTTTTCTAAGTTCTCGTCATTCCAGCCATAAAGCTGGATGTCCTCAAGGATCTTGAAATCAACCATGTAAAGACGACCTTCCTGAAATACATGACACTATTACACGACTAGGGCAGTCAGAGGGTCAATAACTAAAA